AGCCAGCTCTGCAGCCAGGTGGCGCCAGCCCCACCCTATCCCTCTCCATGACTTTGCTGTCCAGGTCTCCCCTCTGGTCCAGGTCCATCTGAGGGGGGAGAGGAAAGAGCGCTCCAGGCCTCACTCAGTGAAGGGGGAGCCCGGTCACGTTCCTCCAGGAACTCCTCCAGGGTGACCATCCTCTGCTCTGGGGGACCCAGGGCCACCCCCAGGCCTGGGGCTGGGCAACACCCCTCTTCTGGATGGTTCCTGGTGGAGAGGCCCATTTTGGGTGACAGGTACTCCTGGAGGCCGAGGGTAGTGTGTCCTGGGGTGCTGGCATCGCGAGGCGGGGCAGAGTGCTGTGTCCCTGCTGGGCATCAGGTCCTCACTGCTCTTGGGTTTGCGGTGGAGCCGGTCGGGTCGGAGGAACCTGGTGTCAGGGCGAGGGGACACAGAGGGACACATGTCAGCCTCTCACTCTCCCTCACCTGCCTCCAGTGGGCTCTGTGCTGCCTCAGCCTCAGGGAACACAGGGAGCCCTGCTGGGGAGCCCAGAGCACACTTCTCCCAGGCTGGCACTGGGATGTCAAGGACATGCTGGGATTCTCTAGAAGTTCACAGTGGGGTTTAAAAACAAAATAACGTGGGAGGGAAGTGCAGAGCTCCTGCTAAAGCTGAAATTAGCAACAGCTTTGAGGCAACTCCCTCCTTAGCCCTTGGGACAGCGTAGACAGACCATCTTCTGCACCATTAACAAACTTAAACGCTGTAAAGGAATCACACTCACCCGTGTCCTCTGACCACGATGGACCGGAACTCCCAGCCCTGTCCCCATCCGGAAGCTGCAGGAACTCAGGCTCGGAGGATGAGTGGCTCACCCAGGTGCCCAGAGCTGGTCAGTGAGGAGAAGGGATCTGGACCCAAATCCGTGAAAACTCCCAAGCCTGAGCCGGAAACTGCATGATGTGCCCTAAAGAGGCAAACCCCTCATGCTGTGAAGAACTTGCTAATTGTCTTCTTTAAATCACACAAATAACACAAAGCCCACAGCCCAGATCCAAGGGCACTGGAAAGTGCCCAGAAAGAAAGCCAACTTACCCTTCAGGCCCCGAGGTGAGCTGTCACTGGACGCATTACTATGGCTCTCCGAGCTGCCTGGCCCGGACCCTGAGAGGAAAGGACAACCCTTAACCCAAAGGGCCAATGACCCAGTCTAGCCCAGACTAAGCCCTCCAGTCTGACAACAAGGACATAACAGAGCTATTCTGCCACAGCTTAGGGGAGCGCCCCCAGGAGCACTGACCTGGATTCTGGAGAAGCCCCAGGAGGGTCCCGCCTCCCCTGAGTGCCAGGCCCCGTGCACAGTGGGCATGGGCTGTGCGGGATGACAGCCTGTGCTTCTGTGTCTGTGAGGTCTGGGCCTGGGCTCAAACAATTTTGTTAACAAAGGAAATTTCACGCAGAACTCCGGTACAGACCAAACAGGGCGGCTCTGGGAAAATGAAGGGTGTGGAGCCCACCCTTACTACACATGGAGCTTTCTAGACCACGTGGAAACACCCTGCCTAGACCAGGACAGTGGCACCTGGTGAGGGTGGGAGCCAGCACAGGGCAGAGTATGTGCGCCCACGGGTGGACAATGAAGCCTGTGCCCGCTCCAGGGCCCGCTTCCCCTCGGTGGTCCGAGGGGGCGGGTGCTGGGGTCTCAGGAGGAAAGAACGTGCTGGCTTTCCGTGGCTGTTTGCTGTCCTTCAGCTCCTCTTTTTTGTCTCAAATTGACATCTGCCCCAAAGGGAAAAGAAACGAACCTCCCCCATGACAAGTGTGGGGCAGCCGCCCTCCTGGCTGCAGTGTGTGCCCGCCTGAGTGTGTCTAGGGCAGCCCTCCCTGCCTCCCTAGGATCACAGGGGGAGCCCCTGCTGCAGGGTGGGCGGCACCACCTGGCCAGGGCAGGCAGTCCCTTCCAGGCCTGCAAACCTCCCCTCCTGGTCCAAGCCCCCAGCACACCCAGTCCCACGGTGCCAACCCCCCACCTGCAACTCCCCCCAAGTATCATCAGGGCTGGTCCCACTGCACAGTCATGGCTGGGGACAGGGACTGTGTGACCGTCATCCCTGCACACAGCTGGTGTTGAGCTGAACTGCACTGAGAACCGGGGACACACTAGTAGCGGCTCTGCTTCCGCCCCCCAAGCAGTCTGCTCTGGACTCACTGGGGCACAGGGCACCCAGGTCCCCAGCACCGGCACGCTCCCCAAATAGCAGGCATCAGAACAAGCCTGTTAGCAGCGGGGTTTGGGGGTGAACCAACAAGTACTTGGTTTCCGTGAAGAGCACAGAAGCAGAACGAGCCCCCTCTCTGAGAAGGAAAAACTTGAACAAAAAAACCCACCTTCCTCTTGGAAAAGGACGTGTCACTGAAAGGCAACTGTGATACAGCTCAGCGGCTCCCAAAGCCTCCGTCCATTCCAGCCCTGCTCTGCCCACCACTTCGCCTCTGTCTCTTGATGAGAGAAGCTCGAGGAATCAGAACACTGAGGAAGACGATCCCTTTCTTCAGTGGATTCGGCATAAATCTGGCCCCAGGGTGACACTTCCAAGAGCGCAGGCCGATTCCTCTTGTCTTGTTACCCTTCACTCAGTGTGAAGAGGGGAGGGCTCCTCGGTGTCACACTGCCCCCCACAGAGCCTGTCTCTGCCCATAAGTTGCAGGAGCCCATGCCAGCACCATGGAGCTTTCTAGGCAATGGGAGGGTGGGAGATAGTGCTCCTCCTGCACTTATTGTTGATACTTCAGAAGCCAAAGCCAATGTAAACACTCTCAGTTTTTGTTTTAATTAAAAAGTTAGCTCCACAGCCTCCCAGGATTTTGTTCTTTGGAAATTCTGAAGACCCAAAGCGACTATTAATGTTTGAGAAGGCTGGTCTCATTCACTGATTCCCTTCTGCCTACATGAGAAGGCAAGTGTTTCCACCAATTTCTAAGATGACATTTACCCCTGGGAGCTGCTCTGGGCAACTCCAATCCAGGTGAGGAAGGTGAGCCTTCCTGCAATCAGTGCTCTCTGCCTGGGCCACTAGGCCTTCCTTCAGGCAAGGGCAGTCAGAGCCTCCAGAATAGTGACTCCCCATCACGGGAGGGGTGCAAGCAGGAGCTACATGCTTAGGCCCCTCGGGGAGGCAGGGAAGGGGTGTTGAGGAACTGCGGGTCCCCATTCCCGCTTCAGCACAACACCTCCACTTTCACCGCCTTTGTGTGTGGGACTTGCACACAGGCCTTAGCTTGAAGGAAAAGCACTGTTGGAAACAGGTCTGAAATCCAGGCTGAAGGGCACCATGCACCGCCCACTCCCCGTGCTGCCTGTGGTTGGGAACTGGAGCTCCAGGGACCGCTCACGGGGGCTGTCATCTGAATTCTAGCCCGCGGAGATCATAAGGCTGGTGAGTCAGCGGACCTGGAACATCCACCGGGAACCTGGGCCTTTTGCCAGACGCCCACCTCTGACTCTAGCCCAGCCCTGAGACGTGGTCTTGTCCAGCTCCTGGAGGAGGGAGGGTCGGGTGGGCTATGCCCTTGGGGAGTATGTGCCCAGTATGTCCTATCTCTCCCCATTTCTCCTGCTGGGACAGCCTCACACTCGGGACTCTCTCTGACTTAACTGTCAATCACTCTTCTGCCTGCGCAATGACTGGGACTCCAAAGGACAGCAGTGTCCTGGCCTAAGGGCCATGCAGCAAAGGCAGCTGATACTTTGTATCCTGGGAGCCCCTCCCACCTCCAGGGCCAGCTGCACCATAAGCAGGGCCCTGAGAGCAATCCTCTCCCAGGGGCCTGGGGCCTCCAGGGCTTGGAGGAAGCAAAAGGAAAGAACCACCACCTGAGGGAGGAGGCTGGTTCCCTAGAGACTGAGCCTGCACCAGCAGCTCCTCACCAGCAACGTCAGGAATCCATGGGTCACCAGTCACTGCTCTTCCCTGAGAAGGACTAAGATGCCCTATGCCTCAGGCCTGCCAGCTGCTCTCTGACAGCAGCCCTGGGTCCCCCCCAAACGGACACCAGGGTCTCCATTGTGCAGACAGTTCTAGGTCACCCTGAGCCTGAGCACTGGGCTGCCAGGGAATCACTGTGGGTAGTGCTGGGTGTCCAGTCTGAGGGGCCCTCAGGCAGGCTCCTCAGGCGGCTGAACAGGCCTGGGCTCTGGATCAGGGGGGATCCAGGCTGAGGCAGCCCAATGGTTAGCCTGGAGGGCCAGGCCTGGAGCCATACAGGCGGCTGGCAGGCCCAGGGGAGGTGGTGCTCCCGGCTCCTGCTGGAGCCCAGGCAGGGCTTCTGCTCTGCAGAGCCAGGGAGACCAGGCTGAGTGCTGAGTGCCCACAAGGATCACAGAGCAAGCCCACCCCAGCCCCACAGGGCACAGCACCCCTGACACCCAACAGTCAGTGACTGCCATTTCAGTGTCTGGCCAGAGGGACTGCCTCCTGCCCTGTGCTCACTCACCTCACCTCCTCCCAGGGGTGCTTCTAATTTGTAAACCAGGGGCCAGGTCCTGAGGTTGAGCTAGGCAGCCTAGAGGGCAGGGGCCCTGTCTGTCTTTGCTGGGCTTTTCAAACCGCGGTTATGCTTGTCATAGCTTCCAGGGTCCAGTGGGAGGTAAGATGATGAAAAATCATAACCGCTTCTTCACTCGTCAGTTTCTAACACCTCCGGGGCCGTCATTTCCAGCTCTTCTGCTGTCCTCAGATGCTGTCATCTCTAGGTCATAAGCAGAATGTCTTTTTAAGTTTTAAGCTGTATTTCTCCCCTCTGTTGCATATTTTACATTTCCCAGTGCTCATCCCCAGATGCTCCTTTTCACAGCATCCTGCTCTGGTTGCACCGTGCAAAGTGGCTTACTTTGCACGAAGGGCTACTGGCATCTGGAGACATCCAACCTGTCAATCCTCCCCCAATCCCCTTGTTTTTCAGTCTAGGACACCTGCCCTCCTCGCCATGGACCGGCCTCCAGTGCAGGGACCCTGTCAAGTCTCCGCCCTGGAGAATAAACCTCCAATGTTGCCTGATTTTAGCCCAAACTCTGGTTCACCTCCGTTCAGGAACCGCTTGGTGCCATCAATTCTTGAGCAGTGGTGTGGGTCCCAGGGCTCAGGCCCAGCCGTCCAGAAGGCGGAGTTACCCTCCCAAAGTTGCACAGCTGTAGGCGGAGGTGAGCTCTGAACCTGAGTGTGTGGGACGCCATCCTGTCCCCAGCGTCACCCACCTACTGACCACCTCTCGGTCTGAGAGGCACCTCCTGCCCCTGCGAGCTGGGTCTTTGGGAAGGACCTTGGGCCGAGATGCTCATCCCTCTTGGTTCTGGAGGGACCCGTGACTCACCGTGGGTGCGGCCTGGGTGCCGGGAGTGGAGGTGGAGCTGGGAGGAGCTGTAGTGATGGCTGAGGATGAACAGGCCCTGGAGCCCAGCTCTGATGGCCTGGGCTTGGTGGCTGGGTCAGCGGAGGCATCAGTGCAGTCAAGGCTGCCTCTGGGCGGGGCCACTCCCTTTGGTATTGGGTCCCCAGGGCCTGGGGCAGAGAAGGACAGTGAGAAATGGGGCTGCAAAATCCCATGCCAAGGTGGGGCGATCACACTGAGGCCTAGAAGCAGAGGCAGCAGGGCCAGGGAGCCCAGGGACAAAAGCGGGGCTGTGTGCCTCACGGACTGTGGTCTAAGGGGGGGCCCTGGTGGCAGCCTGAGTTGGAGGCCCCAGGACGCCGGCCCTGGCTCTAACCATGGATCACAGTGTGAGCCCCCAACAGCCGGGAGAAAATAAAGGGTGAGCTCAGGAAACTCAACGAAATGTTGGTAAAAGTCCAACACGTTAACTACTGGGCCCCCCTGCCGTGTCCCTCAGTCCCTGATCACTAGTTAGAAGACCTGGCCTGTGGCTGCTTAGGACCACTCCCGTCCTGTGGGCCAGGCCCTCAAGGTCCAGGATGTGCACCCTGCCAATGGGCTTCCCTTATGATTTGAAAAAGAAGTTCATTGCCACCCTAACAGTCATCTGTTTAAGAAGTCTTCATCTCTCATGATGACTTTGATTGCAAGAATGATTTTTACCTTGTATGTTTTGCAATCTCTGAATTTTCTCCTGTGAACACATACTCTTGTCAAAGTTAAATAAAACCCCAATAAAAACAGCAACATTGGGAGGAAAAACACACCTGAAAGACCTTCGACTACCTGTAGTAGGAAAGGGGATGGGCTCTCCAAATACAAATGAAAAACGAATTCGGTTGGAGTTCCTCAGAAATCAGGACAAGGCTGTTTTGCACAGTGTCCTGCTCCAGGCAGCTGGAGGGCTATGGACCCGGAGCCACACCCACTGTGGGGATTCTGGCCCCTCCACTCTCTCCCAGGACCTGTTGCCCCTGCCCCTCAGCCACCCAGTGTCTGGACTCACAGGGAAGTTTTAAGCACCCAAGTCTTGCAATGTGAAATCAAGGGGAGATTTGGATTCTGAAAGATAACCTTGATGAGCAGCAAGATTCACGTCTGGTGGGATGAATCTGACAGGCGTCCACTGCCTGAGGTCAGCGTGAGGAGCAGCGGGGAGGCAGAAGTGCCAGACAGCAGCCAGGGCAGAGAGAGCGCGTTTCCAACAGCATGCGGGGCAGGCAGGCAGGCGGGGGACCAGCACGCTGCAGCCCAGGAATCAGAGCGATGCATGTGACAAAGTCAGTACCACATCAACTGACAGGAGCAGTGCGAGAGTCCACCCGTTTACTTTTACGGTGACCTTGTGTTTATATGGTTTATATGGTTTTCCATTCACAGTATGGATAACAATCTTTCAAAATAAAGTGGAAACTGCAAGTCGATTCAAGGGAAAGTATGTAAGTATCACTCAGGTGAAATAGACTTTGCAAAATCATGGAGATGGTATGAGGATGGCTGAAGACAGAAAACAATGCAGTAGCTAAAGGCTTCTGTGGACCAGTGCTCCCAGCTGACGGTGACAGTGAGCTGATGACCTGTCTGTCCACTGCTGCCCTCACAGCAGCATCCAAGACGTCAGAGGAACTCAGCATGGTCCCAAAACGTCACTTTGGGCTGAACCCTGGCTGGGCAACATCGATCCGATTATTTGAGATGCTGAGTGGAGCAGTCAATTCTTCAAAACACAGAACACATCTAAAAAGGGACTGCTCTGAAAAAGCCGAGATTCTGTGCTGACTCAGAAGGTGGAGACAAGGGCAGCAGATTGAAAGTTAGCCGCCCAAAAATGAGTCTTAGAAAAACTCACTTGACAGGGGCCCCGCAGTTTCAGAAGCATAGCGACCACTGATGAGTTCTGCGCTGCACAGGGGCAAGGTCAACAAGCCTGCAGGTGCTAGAGATCTGCGCTGCACAGGGGCAAGGTCAACAAACAGACACCCTGGCCCAGGGACCTGGCGCGGATGCCCTGAGGCTCCCCTAACACTGGGCTGCTCTGGAGTCAGGTCCAGAGGCCGAGACAACTGGTCTCCTTTGAAGTCAGAATCCAGGTTGGCTGCTTTAAGCTTGGCTTGGAATTTGGGTCAGGAGGAGGGGTCCACTGAGGGTCATCTGGCCTTTAGCTACTGTTTTTCTGTTTGTTTTTTGAATTTCAGACATGAAGGCAGGTACATTGTGAAGACACTGATGGATTAGAAATCCCCAGCGTCTGAGAAAGGGAGGGGCTAGTGGGAAGCAGGTTTGATGTCAGAGCAGGTCCAGAACCTCAGGCGTTTATAGAAAGCCAGGCGGGATGATGGAGACTTGGCCTTGTCCTCGCTCCCACTTCTGCAAAAGCGACTCTTTTTGCGCCGAGTTGCTAAATTGTGATCCCCAGGATAACCCAAGAGAGGAAGGAAAAACAAAACAAAACAGCAAATAAATGAAATGAATAACAAATGACTGCCTTAGCTAAATGTTCTTGGGAAATCAGAGTCCTGTCCTGCCCAGGAGAGTTGGAAACAATACCCACAGCACAATCAGAATCAGGACTCGGTGAACCATTCTGCTCTGACCCCACTTAATTAATTTAGTGGCGTCCTGTGCCCAGGCTTTACTTAGCACGTGAGGAGCATTCAATATTGCTCTAGGAGCCGCTGCCTTAGACTATTTTTCAATGTCAATGTGTTTTACTATTAAATAAGAATGTTTACTAGTTTAGGACCCGGTTTTTCTTACTCCTCCGCCCTAATGACCAGCTCCCTGGCAACTTGGCTCACACACAACTAACTCCTGCTCCTGTTCAAACACCTTGGGACACTTCCTGGTGTGCTTCTGGCTGCTGCAACGGGACAGTCCACCTGAACTTCTCACTAATAGTCCTTGTTCATTTCAAACAGCCTCTTATGGAAGGATGAGTTTGAAATTCCTCTTTTTCAGACCAAAACACTGTCAACATCAAGAATTATTCCCATTTAGATCCCTACACATCCTCTACTGCAAGCCTACACTTCATGACCTTTAAATTATGGAGTCTTATCAGAGCAGACAATTGGCCTAACTTCCTGAACATGTCATGTACATGAGCATAACTGACTGATCTGATTTCTGACTTAGGATTCAAGTTCATAGCAGGTCCACTGTTATTTCTCTCTCCACACCACCACCTGGTGGCCACAGCTCACACCACAGGAGAAGGAACCTACTACCAGTGATGGTGAACCTTTTGAACTCCCTGTGTCAGCATTTTGAAAAACCCTAACTTAACTCTGGTGCCGTGTCACATTTAGAAATTTTTTGATATTTGCAGCCATAGTAAAACAAATACTTATATTTTTGATATTTATTTTATATATTTAAATGCCATTTAACAAAGAAAAATCAACCAAAAAAATGAGTTCGCGTATCATAGGTTCGCCATCACTGCACTATGCAATGCTGGTGCCCCAGGCTTGGTCAGCACCTTCAGGGACCAAAGCAGCTTCAACTGCAGGCAGTGCTCACAGTGGTTAAGAGTTCAGGCTCCGTAATCTGTCAGACCCGGGTTCAGATCCAGCCCCACCCCTTATTCTCTGGGCAAGTGCTTATCCTTGTCAAGCCTCACTTTCCCAGCACTGAAAATGGGATAGGAATCGTACCTGCCTCACATGGCAGTTGGAACAAAAGGAGAGATGTAAAGTGTGAAACTAGCTAAAGGGTGCTGAGCCCAGAAAGAGCCCCCATTACATGGCTGCTGTTACTAATATCTACCACTGACCTGCTCATTCATGGATCCAAACAGTTGTTTCTTTTTTTAATTTTTATTTTATTGCTTAAAGCCGTGGTCGGCAAACAGCTGCTCACAAGCCACACGCAGCTCCCTGCCCCCCCGCCCCCGAGTGCGGCTCTTCCACAAAACACCAGGTGTGGGCATGCATGTACAGTGCGATTGAGACTTTGTGGCCCATGCACAGAAGTCGGTATTTTGTGGAAGAGCTGGTATTTTGTGGAAGAGCCACACTCAAGGAGCCAAAGAGCAGCATGTGGCTCTTGAGCTGCGGCCTGCAGAGCCGCAGTTTGCCGACCACTGGCTTAAAGTATTACAAAGAGTAGTACACATGCTTCCTTTTTTAACCATTGACCTTCCCCTGGCCTCCCCTAGCCCCGGTATCTTGAGCCCATTGGTTATGCTTATATTCATGCATACAAGTCCTTAGGTTGATCCCTTACCTCCCCCACCAACCCTCCCCAGCCTTCCCGCTGTAGTTTGACAGTCTGTTCCATGCTGCTCTGCCACTGTATCTATTTTTGTTCACCAGTTTATAATGTTCTTTATTATCCATAAATGAGTGAGATCATGTGGTTTTTTTCTTTCATTGACTGGCTTATTTCACTTAGCATAATGCTCTCCAGTTCCATCCATACTGTTGCAAATGGAAAGAACTCCTTTTTTACAGCAGCATAGTATTCCTTTGTGTAGATGTACTGCAGTTTTCTAATCCATTCATCTGCTGATGGGAATTTAGGCTGTTTCTAAATCTTAGCTAAGGTAAATTGTGCTGCTATGAACATAGGGGTACATATATACTTTCTGATTGGGGTTTCTGGTTTCTTGGGATATATTCCTAGAAGTGGGATCACTGAGTCAAATGGGAGTTCCATTTTTAACGTGTTGAGGAAACTCCATACTGTTCTCCACAGTGGTTGCACCAGTCTGCATTCCCACCAGCAGTGCAAGAGGATTCCTTTTTCTCCACATCCTCGCCAGCATTTGTCGTTTGTTGAATTGTTGATGATAGCCAGCCTGACAGGTGTGAGATGGTACCTCATCGTCATTTCGATTTGCATCTCTCATTTGATTAGTGACTTGGAACATGTTTTCATATGTCTCTTGGCTTTCTGAATGTCCCCTTCTGAAAAGTGTCTATTCAGGTCCTTTGTCCAATTTTGATTGCATTATTTATCATCCTTTTGTTAAGTTGTATGAGTTCCCTGTAGATGTTGGAGATTAAACCATTATCGGTGATAACATTGGCAAATATGTTCTCCCATGCAGTGGGCTTTCTTGTTGTTCTATTGATAGTTTTCTGTGTTTATTTGCTGTGCAGAAGCTTTTTATTTTGATAGTCCC